AACCCGCCAGATCTTCTTCATCCGGTGACATCATCCACTACTCTTTAATCTACCAGCATTAGTTTTTAGTTTTTATACTGGACCCAATTTTACTTTTTTTCATTTGTTACATCCCTTTATATAATGTTATTATTAGGGAACTAAACCAAAACCAGCCTTTTAACTTAGGATTTTAAAAAATAATAGGCCGGTTGGGTTCAATAATATTACTATTAACCGGTGTAGGATATTAATTTCACTAATTTTCAAGGTAGGTCGAGAAAAAGAGTTACAAGTTAATAGTATAAAACATGATTAGCTATATTATTATAAACATTGCTGTCGGATATTACTTTCACTAAGTTTCAACGTTGCCAACTCGGTTTCAATCATTAGTCTGGTTGAGAAAATGAGTTAAGAGTTAATGGTTAAAAACTGATTTGACCCGAATATACGAAAAACTCATTATATTGTGCACACATACATAGTATTTTCTATTATACGTTAAGTAAAATCAAAGGTATCATATACACTTGGTAAGAAAATGTTATATAGACTTTGAATTAACCAGGTTTTGGGCATGATATTATATCCTAACCCTTGATGAGTAAAACCTAGGTCTTAACCATGTAAATCATAGACCCTAAACACCAAGATAGTGCATAGAGTTTGTTGGATGTATTTCGATGAAATATGACCATCGATTATTGTTTATGATTAAATTGGTCTTAGTGTATGAGATTCATAGAATTAAGACATAGATTTTCATTTTTAAGGGTTAAGGTATAGTATCATGTCTCAAACTTCGGGCAATTCAAAGTCTATATATCAGTTTTCTTGCTCTATGTATGTCATACATTTAATTTTATTCAATGTACAATAGAACCATCCACAAATATACACATGACTGGTGTACTCCTGGATTATACCATCCTCCAATTATATGATGTTAGATGTACTTCAAAAAATAAGAATCATTGGTATTTTTTTATTAACTTGATCTTCGGGTTTGAGCCTAAAGAATCGAGACATTGGTTTATCTATAATAGATAAGGGTATAGTATCATACCTCAATCTTGGCCTGAACTTGAAGTACATGACAATTTTGGCCTGAACTTTCAAATAAGACAGTTTTGTCCAAATTTGGGTTGACCATTTATATTAACGGTCAAACATTTATTTAGTCTATTACTCATCATACAATATTAAGGTGGTTGCGACGTGGCTACCACGTCTTAGGGATAATATCCTATTTTTGTGGTCTTATTTTAGTCTGACAAAAAGTTTCACATTTTTATTAAATAAATGATGTGGAAGCCATGTCACAACCTAAATCTCTTTGCGTACCCATCCTATCAATATTAAAGGTTAGGACTTTGCTACGGTGACATGCATGTCACGGTGACATGCACTTTTCGGTCGACCTCATATAGGATCAGGTCGACCTAATCGGTTGTTTCAGTGTACAAACAGTTTCATGGTGCCTACTTTGGAGATTCATATCTTACAATTGGCTAGATGGAAATTGGAGATTAAAGGCTTGTTTTGAAGCTGAAGTGTCCCTCTACACATTAAAGTACTTGGGAGCTCAATAGAAAGTCCAGAAGACCATTTTTGAACCTGACCAAAAGGCTATGCCAAAACTGGGAAACTGCCTGAAAATGGCTAAGTCTGGCAACGTGTTTGTCAAGCCTACTTTGGAGCTCAATTTGACAAGCATGGATGCGAGTCAAGTCCAGGGGCCTTTACCACGTTAAATTACGTATTTTTTTATACAAAGGCAAGGCATTGAATGAAAGATTGAATATATTTAAGGCTTCAAACAAAAGGCTCGAAGTTGCTACGAAGGCTGTTTTTCTGGCAGCTTGCTTGTGCAGTTGTGCTTGAAGTCTGCCAGAAAAACAGCCTTCGTAGCAACTTTGACCCTTTTGTTTGAAGCCTTAAAGATATCCAATCTTTCATCCAATTCCTTGAATTTGTATAAAAACATACCTAATTTAACGTGGTAGAGGCTCCTGGACTCGACTCGCATTCATGCTTCTCGAATTGAGCTCAAAAATAGGCTTCACAAACACGTTTCCAGACTTAGCCATTTCTAGGCAGTTTCCCAGTTTTGGCATAGCCTTTTGATGAGGTTCAAAAATGGTCTTCTGGACTTCCTATCGAGCTCTCAATCACTTCAATATGTAGAGGGACACTCCAGCTTCAAAACAAGTCATTAGTCTTCAATTTCCATCTAGCCAATTGTATGATATGAATATCCAAAGTAGGCACCATAAACTGTTTTTACACTGAAACAACATATTAGGTCGACCGGATCCTATATGAGGTCGACCGAATCCTAAATGAGGTCGACCGGATCCTATATGAGGTCGACCGGATCCTATATGAGGTCGACCGAATTCTATGTGAGGTCGACCTAATCCTAACTGAGGTCGACCGGAAAGTGCAAGTCACCGTGACATGCATGTCACCGTAGGCACACCCTAAAGGTTATCTTAAATTTGGTCCAAATTTGTCAATTTCTTCCAAATTTGAACAAATCTGTATTCTTTGAAAGTTTGGGCCAAAATTATCCTTTAAGTAAAGTTCGTACTAAAATAGTGTATTAACCATATGACGTGGAAGTCGCATCGCAGCCACTTCATCATTGTATGTTGAATAATAAACAAAAGAAATGTTTGACTATTAAGATTAATGGTCAACATAAATTTCAGGTCAAATTTGTTCATTTCTTTCTAAGCTCGGACAAAATTGTCTTATTAGAAAGTTCATACCAAAATAAGGTACTACACCTATTACTTATGGTTAACTTCCAATCAGTCGATGGAAGTGTCAGTTGACGAAAACACACATATAACTAAAAATTGGTTACACTCATCCTTAAGTTTGAATTTCTCTCGGGAATCCCGACTACTTTCTCGACATCTTCAAGGATTAGCCAGATTCCCAACGAGACGAGCCTTATTCTACTATCTACTAAGAAGGATGATTTTGGACTTACCCATTAGACATCAATTAGGGTTGCAAATGATCACATTACTTTTAAGTCGAGCCGAGTCGTATTCTACTATCTATTAAGAGGGATGATTTTGGGCTTACCTATTAGACATCAATTAGGGTTGTAAATGATCACATTACTTTTAAGGCGACATAAGAAAACAAATGACTTTGAGAGAGAAGGAAGAAATACTTCAATGCTTTTACCAAAAAAAAAAATACTTCAATGTCAAGAGCAACCCGGCCAATGTGCCGGGCCCTGTGCTAGTTACAATTGATAAGATTCGGTTTGATTCAATTTTCAATCAGGCCACTTTTATTTAATTATTATGAAACTTTTAGCATATGAATCGAACTGTTTTCGATTGAGGTTAATTGAATCTAAATATAAGAAGATATATCTAATGATGAATTTTATCCGATGAATTTCCCCATTCCCACAATTAAAAAACCATTTTTCTTACAACATTAAAAAAAACCAGTTTTCAACAAAACGCATTGTCTTCTAGTTAGAAGACATGTTTTGGCATTTGTTCCACAGAAAAAGCCACGAAGCAGACAGAGGTTGAAATTAAGGAAGAATTGGTCATCGTTTGGGCTTGCATTAGAATAGGAGAATATTATCAATTACACTTTCGTACGAAACGCCAATAAAATGTGGCTGCTATACTTTGATCTATATATTCTTAGAATTTGGTACGTACCTTCGCATATATGTGCATCAGAGGGATTAATTGTGTTAATTAGGTCCGATTGGCATTAAGAGTGTGATTAAATCAATCAATTTCAATATACAAGTTTAATTTGTTTAAAGTTCTGTCAGGTTGGTGCTTAAGTTTGACAAATCTAGAATCTAATCAAAAGACAAATACGACTTTCCCAGGGAGGCATGAGACCGTTCTTTGTAAAAAATGAAGAAAATATAAACCTTTATGGTAAGAAGAAGGATTCACAGGAAGAGGATTCAGAAAGTGCAACCAGGCATTTGACGCAACATCATCAAAGAGCGTATTCGGGCATTCGACGCAATTTGTTTCTCTCTATGTGTATTGGGAGAAACAAATACATACCTACAACGCAAGGTATTTTTCTATTTTATTTATTTTTAAATTTATCGAGTTAATGAGGTGAAAATTTTGAAAGATTAAATTTTATTATTTTGTTAATTGTCATGTCACTTATTAAACTATCAACTATGAGAATTAACTGTCACATCAAATAAAGTTGACGAAATTGGACTGTTAGTGATCAAATTTAAACGGTTAAACTAATTATAATAACCATGAATGAAATAAAATATTTTTATCTACAAATGTGAAATAATTTAGTAAATTGAGTGACCAAACTTGCAATTTACCCCAAATTAGATGAGTGGATGCTACACAAGTTTACTATAATTTTATTATCATTTCCATCAACTTATTTTTCTCCTCCATATTTGATTTCCCTAAAACAAGACACAATTATTTATTATTGGTCCTGAAAAATATAAATCACAGACCGTATTCATAGTTCCAAAGCTTTTTATTCCAAATGCAAGAACTAAAAACTAATTAAAATTGTGAAAGACTAAAATTGGAAATGAAATTGAGGATAATTTCCTTTTTTGTTTTGTGTTGTTTTGACTGACATGGGAAACGACTGCCTGCTTAAAATTAAATTCCCTTTAATTACCAAGAAGTCACTGATCATTAATAAAGGGAAGGAAGAAAAAGAGAGGATATCTAATTTTTAGGTTCCAAGACGCATATATAAATATAATGAACTAGTTCCGTTGCTCCCTGCAAGCTGCACTTTGAACTGAAGTGGGCCGCGGCCGGATCGGAGCAATGGATCTGGATCATCAGGGAACTCACATCACCCTCAAAGTGAAGGCCCAGGTAATTAATGGCGTGCTCTATTAATATTATATTTAATACTGAATTACTTGACTACTTCTGCTGATCGATCATTTTACGTGAAATATAACATTTCTTCAGGACGGGAGCGAGGTGTTCTTCAGAATAAACCGTGGCGCCCAGATGAGAAGACTGATGGAACAGTACTGTGTTAGAAAACAGCTAAGAGGCAGCAATATTGACTCTGTTCGGTTCGTCTTCGATGGTCGCAGGGTCCATCCTGATTACACTCCGCTACAGGTACTTAATTATGGTAATAATATATATCAATTTCTACTAATATTGTTCTTGAAGTTGAGGAAAATGATTCAGTTTGACCCGACCGATGAAGATGATCAAGAGTTTGAGATACCCAACTCTAATCAATTGTTTGATTTCCTTGCTTGGCTGTCTCGCTGAATCCATGAATATTGCAGCTTAATTTGGAGGATGGAGATGAGATTGACGCATTTTTGGAACAGATAGGTGGCTTTCGTCCGTGGTGGTCGTGACTCATGATGATTCATGAATTAATGATCAGATCGATCCATCATCAAGCAGAATAATAATAATAACAATAATAGATTGGGTAGAAGATTTAGGACCAATTCTGTGTAGACTGCCGCGGTCGGTTGGAGAAGTTTCATTATCATGTCTCGTTTCTATATTTTCAACTAGTTGTGTAAATTTTGTAATAATCCTTTGGCTAGATGAATTTCGCTAATCGTTTATGTTCCTCGGTTTATTTATCATAATGCTTAAACTATTTTCAATTTTGTTGTAATTCATTTTGATTCCTCAATACATATATGTTCACTTTCTCGCGCACAATATTAGTGCATGACAGGAGATACTACTAATATTACATATTAATTCGTCAACCAAACACTCAACATGATACTCTTAAGTTAAAATAATACAACACATGCTCATTAATTATTAGTATTATTAATACACAAGTTAAATCGTTGTTGCATACGATAATTTCGCTTCTCCTCTCCGCATCACTATTCATAAAAGGCTGAAATTCCATGCGGCCAGACCCACAACACCGCAACGTACCCACAAGGCCACAAATCTGTTTCCTGGATACTTTCCATACAATTAATTATGTGTTGGGTAGGCCAAGTCACGCTTCTCTATTCTCTAACCAATGCGTTTTGGAAACATTTTGTAATTGGGAGCGGTAGGATACATTGGAATTGGAATCGTTGTTGTGGTTAGCTATGGTTATAAATAATGGCGTAGCTATGATTCAATTTAAATTGGATCCTGTTTAGGAATAATTTTATAACATTTTATTCATATATAAAATCAAGTAGTTATGTCCTATCATACCAAAAGAAATCAAGTAGTTATTCATCAAATTATCAATTAATCACATAAGTGCGTAACTTTTTATTTTTCATCTCATACACTCAATTTCACCGTAATATTTTTTTTTCCTTTAGATAACTATCTCTATACTTTTTCATTCCACATCACGAAACGTAAAACATAAGTCTTCAATACTAAGATGATACATAAACTTTATGGAGAGATAGTAATATCTATCAATTAAACAAACATATTATATAAGTCTTTCATGATATATGTTTGAGTGAAAATTCATAAAATTATTAACTAAACTGTTGAAGATCACATCAATTTGAATTTCAAAAAAGTTATGTAAGATTAGGCATAACAGTTCAATGAGATGTGATGCTTTCATAACTTAATTACTTGCTAATAACTAAAATTTCTTTATTATTACGTATTGTAGTCAACATCTCATCAATTTGCATTATGCAAATTAAAGTTTGCGTAAGATAAGTCAATCTTACATAGTGTAATCAAATGTGAGACTTATCCGTATCTTAATTTTATTATTAGACCATATATAGATTAATTAAGATTGCATAACAATGTGCTATAACAATTATTGAAATACATTGTGTAAAATTTATGAAGGCTAAAAGGATATTTATGTCTTATGTATCAATCAAACAAATGTACGATGTAAGTTTAACATAATAATTAAAACATAAAATTAATGAAAGCATGTACTCAAACTATTTCTTAAATAATTTTATGTCTTACCGCCACGAAGCGCGAGCCAAAAAACTAGTTAAATATTGAAGTCCTTGTCCAACCGTATATATTCACAATTGGTTAAACCCATCGTAGATCATGTTGAAATTTTCAACATTTAGCAAGCTAGCTGGTAATTGTTCCATTATGAGGTCTTGATTGAAATCCTCCACAGAGGTTCACAGAGTCTCGATGAAAAATCTTTCTTTAAGATTGTAAATCGAGACGTTCAAAATCATTATGCCACATAATCTACACCAACCTATCATCCTTGATGTTTGGTGTAACCCTCAACTAGTGATTGTTGTTGTTTTTTTTTTTTTAATATACTAGTTGATTGTTGTTAATTGACTTACATCTCGAGTTTTTTTAGTGAAGATGCTTGATGAGTGGTAACTTTTTTTTATCATAATTCAATGTACTATGGACCACTAAAATAATTATTCCCATTACATGGTTATTTAGTGGAACTATAACTCAATTACCGGCAAATGTCTCCTTAACTTCGGATATGTTTACTTGATAACTGAGCCCTTATTTTCACATTCCATTTTAATTTGCCGTGTGTTAATTCTCTTTTCATTTAAAAGATTACTGTCACTTAGGCCAACTCCATTGCAAGCCCCCAAATTCATCCCCAAATTTAAGGTTCATCCCCATTTTTTCCTTCTTTTGCTCCAATGCTACATCCTCTATATTTGGAGATCTCCATTTTTTAAGTTTTCCGTTTACTTAAAAATGTACTTATTGAAGACTTAATATAGTTTGTTCATGTTAATTTTTGTATAGTTAGTCATCATTTTTAAATACAAATTTTCCAGTAGAGATTTTTTTAATTTTGAGACCAAATTTTTGTTGACAAAAAATGATTGACCTAATTTGGTTTACACACAACACTTGAAAATTATTGATCTAATTAAACCCCTAATTAATCCTCTAATTAAACCCCAATTAACCCTTAAAATCTTAAAAAGAAAAAGAAACACCACGTGGCGGGCTTTGGGGAGTCTCTATATTTGGGGGAACTCCCATTTCCACCCTCAAATTTGGGGATCCATTTGGAGATCTCTCTCAAATATAGAGACTCCTCCATTTATAGAGGCTAATGGAGCTAACTTTCCCCCAAATATAGAGGCTCCATTGGAGTTAGCCTTATATGGATTATGCGAATCCGGCCCAATTCCCAAGAGATGGGTCAAATGTCATTCACTATCCCAAGAGGTAAAATTTTGTGTATTCTATTAATTATATACTGTAAAACAAATTTTGAATGGTAGACACTAGACAATTTATTTTCGACAATTATTTACTTCTGTGAAACAAATCTAGGATGCTATTGTTATAGAGAGTTACTTTTGTTGCTGTATTTTTCTGCATCCTAAGTAATAGCTGCAAACACGTGATTGTGTTTCTTTGATATGGAATTTGCTCATTATCCTTAGGAGGAACTCTTTGCAGGCGTTTTGAGCTTCCAGCTTTGTGATTTTCTACTGGATTATGCCGTCGATTATTAGTAATGCAGGTATGAAACTATTGCTTATCCGAAGAAATTTTAATTATGCAAGGTATAAATTATGTTTTAGGCTCATGTTCATGCTTCGTTGATCTTGAATTATTACTATGTCATCAATTTGTTCTTATTTATCTTATACATTGGCTTTCTTTGCAGAACTTATATGAATGGTTCTTGCTTCTATCCAGAAGATCCATTTAGCAATGGTAAAAGAACCATATTTTCTCGGTGAATTCAGAAACATGAAAATATTAGATACTGTTTGAACCTAACTGAGTGTAGGAGTTAGATTCGGGTGAGAGTTTGGATCAAGAAGAACGCAAATGAGGGGATTGATCGGAGGGAGGAGAATTGGAGAGTTTGACGGGAAAGAGAGTCACAGCTTTAAGAGAGAGAAGTCGTTGCTATAGAGAGAGAGTCCGAAAAATCGATCCTCTCACCCACCGTAGTAAATGCCATATTTATAGGCTTCATGTTGGTGGGTGAGTGGTTGACTCATGTGGGGATACAATGATGTGACTACTGGGATACAATGATGTGACCACTAGCATACTAAGGATTTTAGGCCATGTCCAGGCCATCCCTCTACCTAGGACGTGTCAGAGACCTGTCCATGGCCCTGATGTGACCACCTTCTGGGGAGGAAAGCTACGCTTTCCTCCTCCCTTGGTTTAGCCTACGCTATGCTCTCCCTTAGCGCATGTAACCCATTCCGCGCCTAAGCTCTTCGCGCCAGGACGTGGTTAACTATGATGAGGTGTCGCGTTCGGGGTCTTCGCGCTGCCACGTCAGGGTATATTTAGTCGCGCCCTGTTCCTTGACGTGGCTGAGCCCGACTTGTTCCTTGGCGCGGCTAGGCCCGAGTCATATGCCCAACAATTGCCCCCCCATCAGGGGGTGTTTTATGAACGCCCCCTGTTTGGATTTCTTCTTGACAGACTGGGCCTGTGTGATCTCCGTGAGGCGAGTCTTTTGGGCTTATTCCGCTTGTTTACTCCGCTTGTCGCAATTGGTTGACTCCTACGTGCGCTCGCGGTCGGGTTCTTCACCGCGCGCGATACGTTGAACCGGCGACGCGTTGTGCTGATGGCACGCGATCGCACGCTCGTTGTTGGGCTTTTCACCGCGCTTGTAGTTCACCGCGCGCGATGCTTTGAACCGGCGACGCGTTGTACTGATGGCGCGGGATCGCGCGCTCGTTGTTGGGCTTTTCACTGCGCTTGTAGTAGGGTTTTGTTCGCTGTGCGCGATACTTTGGGCCGGCGATGCGCGCATCCCCCAGCGTTGAGGACTAGTCACGATGCGCGTGTGAGGTTGTTTTCTTGTTTTTCTTTCCTCGCGGGTATGTCGTGCCCCCCAGGCGGTGCGCGACACTTGTGGCGTCGCCGACTAGTGCCTATGATGGTAGGTATCCACGTGTCACTGTGTGATTAGGCTCCTTGGGCGGGGATTTTTGAATTTCGAAAAGATTTGGTGGGATCTGACGGTTACGGATCCCTATGTGGCTTTAACCCTTCGCATTCCGCTGGCCGACTTTGGCCCTTTGCTTTCCCCCTGACCGACTATAAATATAGGATTGTTGTGGGGAGGGAGGGCTCACTTGTTTCTTTCGATTATTGCCTCACTTTTCTTTCCCTAAGATTTCTCTCCTCCTTTTGCAACCTCAATCCTCTTCTGCTGTTGCTAAGTTTCGAGTCGATATCATGTCTAGCATCAACAACAACGAGGCCGGGGTTGTGCAAGGCGAAGAAGGTAATTTCTCCCCTCTCTCACACACTTCTTCTGACCGTTCCGGTGACGGGGACGGTGGTTCTGGGGATTGGAATGGCGGATCTGACGGCGGAGACGGCGGTGGTGACGGTGGGATTCCGGCGACGCCGTCATTCGAAGCTAGGTCAGGCGATGGGGCCGGGAGCTCCTCTGATGTGG